TGGTTTTATCCTCAAGTATATTTTATATAGGAAAGACAGGACTACTACTTGATTATTTTATGAGTTTTTAGGATAATGAATTGGTTCCCCAATATAAACATATCATATATAACTATATAATAAATCCATAAATTCATGGATTTAACATATTTGATGTCTTTCAATTATTGCAGTTTTATTTAGTTTTTTGAGATGAAGTCTCACTCTGTCGCCCAGTCTGGAGTGCAGTGGCGCGATCTTGGCTCCCTGCAACCCCTACCTCCTGGGTTCCAGAGATTCTCCTGCCTCAACCTCCCAAGTAGCTGGGATTATAGGCACACGCCACCATACCCAGCTAATTTTTAAATTTTTAGTAGAGATGGGGTTTCCCCATGTTGGCCAGGTTAATCCCAAACCCCCAAAGTGCTAGGATTACAGGCATGAGCCACTGCACCTGGCCTACAGTTTTTTTAAATATTCAAATTGTCTCATCTTTTGCTACAGGGACTTCTTTCATGTTGGATCTGGATTCCTTTTGTTAGGACTAGGCTGCAGCAGTCTTTGATAGCATCCTTATTTTTTGGCACGATACTATGTACCAGGCTCATTCTGTATATTTCATACTCCAGATCTGGAATCAGCCATTTCTCCATTAAGCCTTGGCTCCTTTTAATGGGAAATGATGTTTAGAGACCAGAATCTAGATGATGTGGGTGTCTGTTGAAAGTGGATTGGTCGTTATTTTTCATTCTTTTCAAGTGGATGGATTTAAGAAATGCATTTTAAAAAATGAGAAAGTATGCCATGGTTCATATTGATGTTTCAATTCAAATTTACAATGATGTAATTGCTAATAACTTCTACTTATATTTGTATCTCTTTCCTTTTCTACACCCTTTTGGTTTTTTTTTTTTTTTTTTTTTTTTTTTTGAGATGGGGTCTTGCCCTGGCTGGAGCACAGTGGAGTAATCACAGCTCGCTTCGGCCTCTACCTCCTGGGGTGGAGTGATCCTCTCACCACACCTTTCTGAGTAGCTGGGACTACAAGTATGTGCCACCATACCCAGTTAATTATTTTTTTGTTTGCTTTGTTTTGCTTTTATGAGACCGAGTCTCTTTCTGTCGCCCAGGCTGGAGTGCAATGGCACGATCTCGGCTCACTGCAACCTCCTCCTCCCAGGTTCAAGCGATTCTCCTGCCTCAGCCTCCCGAGTAGCTGGGATTACAAGCACATGCCACCACACCCAGCTAATTTTTGTATTTTTAGTAGAGACTAAACATGGGGTTTCACCATGTTGACCAGGATGGTCTCGATCTCTGAATCTTGTGATCTGCCTGCCTTGGCTTCTTAAAGTGCTGGGACTACAGACGTGAGCCACCGTGTCTGGCCCTAATTTTGTAATATTTTGTAGTGATGAGGTCTCAGTATGTTGCCCAGGCTGGTCTTGGACTCCTGGGCTCAAGTGATCTTCCTGCCTTGGCTTCCCAAAGTGTTGGGATTATAGATGTGAGCTACCACACTTGGCCTACACTTTTTAATGTATAGAGATGAAATTATATGGTTAGAGTTTACATGAAAATAATTCAGTACATGTGGGTGGAAGGGGAGAGGATATGGATGAGGAGGTGAATAATAGATGAAACAAGACTGGGCATGAATTGATAATTGTTAATTCTGGGTGACCAGTAGATACATGAAGGTTCATTATATTATTTTCTCTTCTTTTGAGTATGTTTCATATCTTCAGTGTAGAAATTCACTTGCATTTTTATTAAGATCTTATACATTTATAGAGAAATGAACTTGCTTCTTTAATTCATTCCACATATATAGTCCTCTTCCTTTTTTCTTTTTTTACAAAATATGGTGGCTTGTGACATTTTATTTTATTTAAAAATTTTTTATTTAATTTTAGGGGTACATGTGAAGGTTTGTTACATAGATAAACGTGTGTCATGAGATTTTTTGGTATGTAATATTACGTTACCCAGGTATTAAGCTCAGTACCCAATAGTTATCTTTTCTGCCTCTCTCCCTCCTTTACCCTCCCCCCTCCAGTAGACCCCAGTGTCTGATGTTTTCTTCTTTGTGTTCATAAGTTCTTGATTCTTCATTTTTTGAATGACTGCATATCAGTCAGTAAGATGACTATACCATTATTTATGTAACTATTCATTTATTAATGTACTTATGATAGTACCCCCTTATCTGAGGAGATACTTTCTAAGGCCCCAAGTGGATGCCTAAAACCACAGATCATACTGAACCCTGCACATCTGGGTAACTGATTGGGCCACTAAGTGATTAGTGGGCAGGTAACAACATGTGGACACGCTGGACTAAAGGGATGATTCACGTCCTGGGCCTGATGGAGCAGGATGGTATGAGATTTCATCACATATGAGAATGGCCTGTAATGTAAAACTTATTAACTGTTTATTTCTGGCATATTCCATTTAATATTTTTGGACCATGGTTGACTGTGGGAAAACAGTAAAGTAAAACCATGGATAAAGTACAACCATGGATAACCATGGACTATTGTATAGATTGTTTTCAATTTTTCTTTGTAACAAATAATAATTCATTAGTAGTATTTACTTTAAAGTATAATTTAGTGGGTACCTGCATGTTTTTACCATGTTAATAACACTTTACCCCATACTTTTATCAGTTTTGTGTTTACCTCTCAGATTTTGTGAGTTGATACATTAGGCTTGTATTTTAAAATATTTAAATTTTTCAAAAGTGTTACTAATGTCATAAATAAAATTTAATTGATTTCCTTTTGAAAGTTTTTATGGTGAAAGCTGTTTACAAATAAAGTTTCAATATTAGGTATATTTTCGGCAATCAAAATTTTGATTTTTGAAGAAAAAACTATTGGAATTCTAATAAAAGTTATTAGGTACTCTCACATGGTTATACAGTTCGCTACTGTAGTTTGTCACTTATTTTACGTTTGCTACAGGTGCGGGAAACAACAAATTTCCATTAAAAATAATAACTAAGGTAAATCCCAATTAATTTACATTATGAGAAAGCTGCATTTAAAAAAGAAGATACGAAGTATGAAAGGATCCTGACTTTACTGTAACTTTTAAACTGTTACTTGAGGAGTACTTCATATTTTATTTTGAATGATAATCTAAGAATTTATTACTTTTCAAAAGTGAATCAATTATCTTTAGATGAAGTGATAATATTAGTGGCATATATATTTAAATCCCCTTGCGACAGGAGAGCCAGTCTTTTCTTTGGGAGGTAGTGCTGCAGGGCCGTGGTCCTGCTCTCCTTTTCAGATTACTGGTTTGTTACCTAAGCAACAAGGAACCTTGGTGGAGCAGCATCATGAAAAAGTCTGTAGAAAAGCTCTGTGAAAGAGGACTGTAAAAGAAGAGCACTTTGGAGTCAGACAGAGTTAGATTTGGAAAACAGCTTTACATTAACAGGTTAACATTATTTAACCTCTTAGAACCTTAGTTTCCTTATCTGTAAAACAGGCACAGGAACAACTTCTATTTAGGGTACTGTGAGGCTTCAGTGCAATCATGAATGGCAGATGCTGGATGTATTCATTGCTTTTATATACTTCTACAAGTAAATTGAATGTTTGTCATATAATGTTTGGTCATAATAACAATAGTTAGCCTATGTTGAGTACCTATTGTGTACCACACAGTATTCTAAAAACTTTATATGGGGCCAGGCACGGTGGTTCACACCTGTAATCCCATCATGTCAGGAGGCTGAGATGGGAGGCAAGGAGTTTGAGACCAGTCTGGTCAACATAGCAAGACCCCATTTCTATTTAAAAAACAAAACACATGCACGAAAAACTTTACATAGATCTTGTTTAATCCTCACAGAGCTCTGTGAGGTAGGTTTTATTAGCTTGTTTTTATGAGGAAACTGATTGAAGAAAGTTAAGTAACTTGTATGAGAATATATGTTAGGCAGTAATGAGGAATTCGTGCTCTTTGTATGTATATGCATTATATATACTTGATCTTGTGTATGTGTGTGTGTGTGTGTGTGTGTGTATATATATATATATATTTTTTTTTTTTTTGAGATGGAGTCTCGCTGTTTCGCCCAGGCTGGAGTGCAGTGGTGTGATCTCGGTTCACTGCAACCTCTGCCTCCTTGGTTCAAGCGATTCTTCTGCCTCAGCCTCCTGTGTTGCTGGGACTACAGGCACGTACCACCACACCTGGCTAAATTTTTGCATTTTTAGTAGAGACAGGGTTTCACCGTGTTAGCCAGGATAGTCTCACTCTCCCGACCTCGTGATCTGCTTGCCTCAGCCTCCCAAACTGCTAGGATTACAGGCATGAGCCACCATTCCCGGCCTGATCACATATTTTAAGTAAATAAATACAAATGTAAATAATATAAATTATTATATACTTGATTACTTATATTTTAAATAATCAAGACTTTTTTGTTATGACATCAGAGATAAAGGGAAGCATGATGAATCAGAAACATGATATGCTAAAAATCTCATTATTCTAAAACTTGTCTGAAACATTCATATGATTAAGAGATCTGTTGAGTGAGAGGATCACAATTTGGGTAAAATTCTTGCTCTTGGCCAGGTACGGTGGTTCTTGCCTGTAATCCCAGCACTTTGGGAGGCTGAGGTGGGTGGATCACCTGAGGTGAGGAGTTGGAGACCAGCCTGACCAACATGGTGAAACCCTGTCTCTACTAAAAACAGAAAAATTTGCTGGGCATGCTGGCGCGCACCTGCAACCCCAGCTACTCAGGAGGCTGAGGCAGGAGAATTGCTTGAACCCAGGAGGTAGCGGTTGCAGTGAGCCAAGATCGTGCCATTGCACTCCAGCCTGGGCAACCAGAGTGAAATTCCATCTCAAAAAAAAAAAAAGAAAAAGAAAAAAAATTCTTGCTATTTTACTGAAAACATATTTTTCAGTGGTAAGTGAGTGGTTTCCCAGTTTTCACTTCTAATATAGTTTTAGTACTGTATTTGAAAGTGTTTGTTTAATTTCCACAGGGTCGGAATCTGGCAGATCTTCGCCGTAGCCAGTCCCGAGGCACATTCACCATTAGTACTACTCTCCGGCTGGGTAGACAGATTTTGGAGTCTATTGAAAGCATTCATTCTGTGGGGTTCTTGCATCGAGACATCAAACCGGTAGGGACCTTTTCTATCCAAAGCACAGAATGAGTTTGATACTCTTAATGTTATCCTGGGACACAATAAATTACAAATGTAGCTTTATGTATTTGTTGTGGTAAAATACAAGGTAATATTTTCATTTCGATAGAGACCTGGAAGCAAAAATATAACTTACCTCTTAATTTTTTAAGTAATAATTACAACTACAACTTATTTTCAGGAGCTTTTCTCATACAATGAAAATAAAAACTGAGACTGGGGCGGTGGCACATGCCCATAGTGCCAGCTACTCAGGAGGCTGAAGCAGGAGGATTCCTTGAGTGCAGGAGTCGGAGACTGCAGTGAGCTATGATTGCTCCTGTGGATAGCCACTGCACTCCAGCCTGGGCAGCATAGTGAGACCCTGTCTCTTAAAAAAGGTTTATGTTTGACTATTATTATGTGTGCTAACATTGCCATTTACTTAGCTTTATGCCTAAATTGGCATTATTCCCTGGTTTCTTTTATAGATATATTGGTTAAAAAACTATATATGTTGCTTTTGGTGTTGATATTGTGTTCTTGAACTATTTGTTAAGTCAAAAATTATAGGAAATCATCAGTTGTGAAAGACTTCATTTTTTTCCTGAGTGATACTGTGGAAATATAGTGGGGTTTTTATTTACTAATCTGTTTTTCTTAGAAATTGTCATTTCCATAAATGTGAAATAGGTTTTTTTGTCCTTTTTGGTATTTGATTGTTCATTAGGTGAAATGACCCATTTCTGATATACCATATTTACTATAAAGGTATCATATGTTGGTACAGTTGAAAAGTATAACCGTCTGTTGTTACATGACTTCTAAAATTAGTTTACATGAAAATGCTAACTAAATTTAACATAGTAGAGTCAGTCTATTTCTATGCATCATTATTTGAGAACCATGGTGATTGGAATAGTTTCTGTTTTTATCAGAAAGCCCATAAGTAGAACAATATTTAAAAAAAAAAACAAAAAAAAACCCTAATAATTCTGGTAACAATTTGGCCTTTACCTTCACAAGTCCTCTTACTTACATACTCATCTTTGCATTTGTGGTCACTTAATATTACACTGATTTTCATTAGGGGAAGAATACAAAGTGTATTTTCCTTAAGTCCGTTTTGAAATGTTTCTATAAATTGTATTTTAATTTTAGACTTAGTGAAATTCAGTTTTATGATGTTTATAGGAAATTCTTTTTTTTTTTTTTTTAATTTTTTTTGTGACAGAGTCTAACTCTGTCGCCCAGGCTAGAGTGCCGTGGCGCAATCTCGGCTCACTGCAACCTCCGCCTCCCGGATTCAAGCAATTCTTCTGCCTCAGCTTCCTGCGTAGCTGGAATAACAGGCGCATGCTACCACACGAGGTTAATTTTTTTTTTTTAAAGTAGAAATGGGATTTCACCACGTTGGTCAGGCTGGTCTCAAACTCCTGACTTCGTGATCCACCTGCCTTGGCCTCCCAAAGTGCTGGGATTACAGGTGTGAGCTACCGCACCTGGCCGTTTAGAGGAAATTCTTTTAAATTTCTATGGTTTTTTGTTTTTTTTTTGGTCCATCTCTGATTTCTCCTATTTTAAAAAGTAGGGGGTTGGGTTGTCATTTAAGCATTCACTTAGACTAGAATTTCAAGAACTTAGAGTTTCAAGTCTAATTAATATTGTCTTGTGTGTAACCTTAGTCATTTACATCCTTTTTTGCTGAAAGTTTACCTGATATTAGGCATTAATAGAACCCAAAACTAAATCATATTTTAATACCTACTAAACATCATTGACTAGAATAGTATATTTGGAACATGTGTGTTATATAGAGCTTAAATAGAAGAAGACTTAAAATGTAAGGACTAAGTATTATAAGAATGTATATATTTTCCTTCTTTATTTTTCTAGTCGAACTTCGCTATGGGCCGCTTTCCTAGTACATGTAGGAAATGTTACATGCTTGATTTTGGCTTGGCTCGACAGTTTACCAATTCGTGTGGTGACGTCAGACCAGTAAGATTTTTCATATTATTATCGAATATTTGATAATTACCCTGGTATTTATAGTGTCACACTTTTTTAAAAATGCTAATTATTTTTCCTAATGGATGTTATCTAAGAAGTGGCATATACATTTAATGATTATAGAATGACAATAAATTGTATTATTCAAATTTGTGGCTTTAAAAAATGTACATTAGAGGGAGATTTCGAGTGGTCTTCTAGTAAGAACACATGTTGACCCTTTGAGATGAGGGGTCATTTGTGCAGTATGATACCCTTTCTACATACTATAATTCTATTTCAGTTACTGTACTTTTCAACTCCCAAATTTCTACTTAGTTCTCTTCATTGATATTCTCTATTTGATGCAACATTGTCATCGCATTTTCTTTTACCTGTTTAATCAAGCTATCCTTTATTTCTGAAAACATATCTATAATGGCTACTTTAAAATCTTTTTCTGTTAAATCCAATATCTGGTCACTCTCACAGGCAGTTTCTGTTACCTGCTTTTTTCCCCCTATGTATAAGTCATACTTTCCTGTTTCTTTGCATGCCTCATGATTTTTTGTTGGAAACTGGGCCTTTTAGGTAATATATTACTGCAACTCTGGGTACTAGTTTCCCCCTTCTAGGGCTTGTTGTTATTTTTTGTTTAGTGGCTGACAGGATCATTTCAGTGAAATCTATTCCGTTCTCCCTCCCTCCCTGCAAACCATACACACAGTATTAAGACTGTGTTGCTCTTCAGGGAGGTGCGTCTTTGGGTATGACCACAATCACGCTGTGACGGTAATGGCACCAGTAAGGCTCACTTCTGCTCTTTCCTTGGCCACATCCAGCTGTTGAACTTCACTGATTGCAGGCCAGTTACTTTATTGTTTATAACAATATCTTGGGGGCATAAATACCTTGACCAGCTAATCAAACTGTGGCTTCTAAAATGGAATAGTTTCTGAAGTCAATGTTTGATCATTGTTCTGATGTCAGGTCCTTCAGCTATCTTTTCCCCCTAGTTCTCTCCTGTCCAGCTATTCTTTAAGCTGTATCTTCAGTGAATTTCCTCCTAGTTCCCTTTACCACAACCTCTATTTTTGATAGGGCTTTTAGGTTTGTTAAAAAGAAAACATTAGGCAAATTAAATTTAACAGAGTTTAGTTGAGCAAAGAATGATTCATGAATCATGTAGCCCCCCAGAATAGGAATAGGTTCAGAATGACTCTGGGGCTGCCACATGGTCAGATAACATGTATGAACATAAAAAGTAAAATGGGTACAGAAAATGTAAGTGAGGTACAGAAACAGCTGGATTGCTTACAGCTGGGCATTTGCTTTATTTGAATCTGCTTTGAACAGTTGGCTGCTGTGGTTGGCTGAGACTTGGCTGTTTGTTACAAGAGTAGTTTACAGTCTATTTATACTCAAGTTAGGTTACCATCATTACCTCTAGACCAGCCATAAAACATGTACAGAGGCAGTTTTAGGCCAAACTTAATTTAGCAATAAAACTGTACAGCATTGATGTCACTCTGTTAATATTGTAAATGGACTTATTTGGTCTCAGTATGGGATTCGCAAGTCTTATTTGGTCTCAGCTCCTGTCTGTTTTGGGATCTCTCTGCTTCTTTAAAGTTTTGGTTTGATGAAATTAATAATAAACATAAAATAAAAATAAATAAAAAAAGTTAATGTCATACTTTTTTGGATTGTGTTTGAAATAATTTTCTCATATTGTTCTACTAATGTAAAATCAAAAGTTCCCATTGTAGATTTGTTTCATATGTACAATTATTTATTTATTGCTAGGAAACTTGAATCAGTTGTTTGGATTGTCTAAGTATACCATCATGTTATCTGCAGAAATCTGTATTTTGATTTTGTTTATTTTGTCTTGCTATATATTCCAGAAGAGTGTAAAAAACATTAAAAATTAAGAATAACGAAACATTACTGGCCTCCATCTAGGTTAAGAAATGGCGTATTACCATCTTAGAAGCATGCTGTGGGTCCTTTCCTGATCATATCCCTTTTTCTTCCTCAAGCAGCACTGACAAATGGAGCTTACTATGATGATTGCAATGTTCTGTATCTGTACTGTCTTATATGGTAGCTACTAGCTACATGTGGCTATAGAGCAGTTGGATTGTAGCCAGAGCAAGTGAGGAACTGAATTTAATTTAATTTAATTTAATTTTATATTTTATTTTATTTTATTTTTATTTTTATTTTTTTGAAATGGAGTCTCGCTGTGTCGCCCATGCCAGAGTGCAGTGGCGCTATCTCAACTCGCTGCTACCTCTACCTCCTAGGTTCAAGCGATTCTCTTGCCTCAGCCTCCCGAGTAGCTGGGACTACAGGCGCCCGCCACCACACCCAGCTAATTTCTTTTTGCATTTTTAGTAGAGACGAGATTTCACCATGTTGGCCAGGCTGGTCTCGAACTCCTGACCTCAAGGGATCCGCCCTCTTCGGCCTCCTAAAGTACTGGGATTACAGGCATGAGCCACCACACCTGGTCCAGGAACTGAATTTTAAATTCATTTAATTTTAAGTGGCTATCACATTAGCCAGTGCAGCCCTTGACATAGTCTCCATTCTATATTTTGTGTTAACTTGTTTCTTTGTTTTCTTTCTTCTCTCTTCTGCAGATCTTGAGGGTACTTGTTTTGGAGTTAGGGAGCAGATGCAGATAGCTGCCATGACAGGCCTTCATGTCTGTCATGAATTTAACCCAATCGACTTTTAATGTTTTTAATCCAGTCCCTCTCTCCCTTTTCCCTCTCATATTCCTTTCCCTTTGCTTTTTAAATTTATTATTATTATTTAAAGAGACAGGATCTTGCTCTGTTGCACAGGCGGGAGTGCAGTGGTGCAATCAAAACTCATTGTAGCCTCAAACTCCTGGGCTCAGGTGATCTTCTTGCCTCAGCTTCCCAAAGTTCTAAAATTACAGGTGTGAGCCACTGCACCTGGCCCCCTCTGCTTTTTTATTATTTTATTATTATTATTATTTGCTTTTCCCCCTGATTTGATGTATATTGTTGTCCTTTTTTATTATTATTTTTCATTTCTATTTTGGGTTTGGGGGCACATGTACAAGTTTGTTATATAGGTAAACTCATGCCATGGGGGTTTGTTATATAGATTATTTTATCACCCGGGTACTAAGCCTAGTTATTTTTTCTGCTCCTTTCCTTCCTCCCACCCGCCACCCTGAAGTAGGCCCCAATGTTCGTCTTTCCCTTTGTGTCTATGAGTTCTTATCATAACAAATACTGTTTTGTTATCACAGTAAATACTCTGTTGGCTGATCAATATGTAATAGTAGTTGGTCTGTTAATTGAAGATTCATTAAGGATGAAGAATCACGACATAGTACTTTAAGCATTTTTTATATTTTTCTTTGTTTTGTCTTTTTGTTTTCAAATAGTTAAGACTCATAAGAAGTTACAAAAATAATACAGTTACCATGTACCTTCATCCAGCTTTCTCCAGTGATAATACCTTACATAATCATAGTACATTGTAAAAACTGGGAAATTGATGTTCGTATAATATTATTAACTCAAGTACAGACTTAGATTTTACCAGGTTCAACATGCACGTTTTGGTGGGGGTGGTGGTACATGAAATTTTATCACATGTATAGATTCATATAACCAACTGCCGTAATTTGAATGTCCCATCCAAATCTGATGTTTAAATTTGATTCCCAATGCTAGAAGTGAGGCCTAAGGGGCAGTGTTTGGGTTGTGGGATGGATCACTCATGAATAGATCACTCCTCTCTCCTGGGAGTGGAGGGTCATGAGTTCTCACTGTTAGTTCTTATGAGAGCTGGTTGTTAAAAAGAGCCTGGCACCTTCCCCCACCTTCTTGCTTCCTTTCTCACCATGTGACCTCTGCACATGCCTCCTCTGCTTTGCCTTCCACCATGAGTGGAAGCAGCCTGAAGCCCTCACCAGAAGCAGATACTGGTGCCATGTTTCTTGTACAACCAGCATGCAGAACTGTGAACCAAACAGACCTCTTTTCTTTATAAATTTTCAGCCTCATGTATTCCTTTATAGCAACGATGTCCAATCTTTTGGCTTCCCTGGGCCACAATGGAAGAATTGTCCTGGGCCACACATGAAATATACTAACAATAAGTGATGAGCTAAAAAAAGAAATCCCAATAATGTTTTAGGAAAGTTTATGAATTTGTGTTGGGTTGTGTTCAAAGCCATCCTGGGCCACATGTTGGGCAAGCTTATTTTGTAGCAGCACAAATGGACTAAGACATCAACACCATAATCCAGATACAAAGCTATTCTATCACCACGAAGGAACTTCCTCAAAACAAAGATGTATATTTATTTACCAATCTTGTGGTGTAGGACCATCAGTCAGAAGGCATTGCAAAGGGAATGATGGAGTGTATCTGTTATACCAGTGTGTTGTTTTATGAAGTTGGTTTTGACAGCCTCTACTCTTTATCACCTTTAAGATGTATTAGTTACATTAAGTAGGGTTGTGAAGGGCAAAGAAGTCCTAAACTATATATATCTGCAACACTTTGATTCATAATTTCAGAGTTGAACTTCTGTTTACCTAATGATTTGAATCTGCCTGTTCATTTTGTGTATGTGTCCTGCTTTTAAGGCATTCCCCAGTTTCAGCCCTTCAGCTGGCATCTCGCACTGGCCCTTTGTGTCTAAGCTCTTGGAGTGACATGTTTTCTCCTGTTGCTCCCGTCCTAACCATTCACCTGAAACTTCCAGTGCCTAAGATTGTAGTAACTTATGTAAGAACAATTTTTAAAGTCTTTTTTCTGTGTTAGTATTTCAGAATTTCAGCTGAATTTGAGATAGTTTCTTAATTCCATTGGGAGTTCTATTACATAGTTCTTGCATTTTTTTCTCCTGATCCTTTCCCTTTTGTTAGCAATAGGCTAGAGTCATTCCCTTCTTTCTTGGTTTATTCTCCTGGGAGTTCATCCTGTCTCTAACATACATTCTCTCCTTTACA